CACATAGGTACCTTCTTTGCGTTTTGTCAGATCTGCAGTGAAAGTGTTCTTAAAATGAACAATACGTGCTGGGTCATCATCCGAGACTGCTATAACATGAAATATATAGATAGAATGAGGGTAAAACAGCAGGGGACATACAGTTCTCCCCCCCCCCCAAGGAGTATAGTCACAAATTTAATTGACACATTTTTTTAACGAGCATCATCAGCATGGAAGCATGTCCTCTGGAATGGTGGCCAAAGCATGAAGGGGCACACAGATGTTTAGCATATCTGGCATGTAAATACCTTGCAACGCTGGCTACAAAAGTGCCATGTTCTCACTTTCTGGTGACATGGTAAACAAGAAGTGGGCAACAGTATCTCTCGTCAATGTAAACAAACTTGTTTGTCTTAGCAATTGGCAGAATAAGAAGCAGGACTGAGTGGACTTGTAGGCTCTAAAGTTTTACACTGTTTTGTTTTTGAGTGCAGTTATGTAACAGCAAAATCTACATTTGTAAGTTGCACTTTCACGACAACGCGATTGCACTACAGTACTTGTAGGAGGTGAATTGAAAAATACTATTTCTTCTGTTTATCATTTTTACAGTGCAAATATTTATAATAAAAAATAATATACACTTTGATTTCAATTACAACACAGAATACAATATATATGAAAATGTAGAAAAACATCCAAAATATTTAATACATTTCAATTAGTATTCTATGGTTTAACAGTGCGATTAAAACTGATTAATCGCGATTAATTTTTTTGAGTTAATTGCACGAGTTAATTGTGATTAATCGACAGCCCTAGTTTAAATCCCAGCATTCTCTATTTATACTTGAGAAGATCACAGCTACTTTTTTCTTTACTTATCTCTGCTGTCACTGATATAATCTCAGCTCTGGGGCTAGTGTTGATTAGCCAAGTGTTGCTGCACAGAGAGCACATTGTAGGTCTTAAATAAAACAAATGCCCTTTTAAAAAAAATTTGTGTGAAGAACATTTTTTTAATGGATTTATTATGTGGATGTTATTCATTAGATGACTATATTAGTATTGCAATAGTGTCACAGGATGGGAACCTGATTGTGCTATAGATAGGCACTGTACAAACATACAGGAAGACACAATCCATTGGTTTAGAATCTGATTGCATTAGAGAGCAAAATCAAATTTTGGGCCAAGAATATGACTGCAGTGTCCGCTTTTGTAAAACCCAAGTAAGTGGGAACTATGCAGGAGTTAAATACGAACAAAATGAACATCAGGTGTGGCTCCTTACTCAGATGATCCCATTGAAGTCAATGGGATTGCAGAACAGGCAGTAATATTCTTTCAATTATTTCCTTCTGTGAAAAGCAGCTACACTTAAAAAAAAAACCTAGAAGTTTTAAAAAAATGTAGTAAAAAAGTGCTAGACAAGCAGTTTTAAAGTGTGGTCACTATCTTTCCATAGAATAGGTACATCAGAGCAGGATCAGAGCAAGCTTTCTCACATTGACCCTCATTGTTTCACACCTGTTCAAGTGAAAAAGTATTTCAGTCTCCCTGTATACTCAGTCCATTCCATCTCTGTTCAGATTGCCAACAAGGATGCCAAATGAAAAGGTGGGCATCCATTCTCTCACTTCATTTCACATTAAAGAGCCATCAGGTAGTAACAACTTTCAGTCATTAGTGGCTTACAGCAGATATGAGTCAGTGACCTAAAAGTGAAAGGCTCTGTATCCCAATGGCAGTTTTTTGGCACCATGTATTCCCCTGCGGACAGTGATCAGCATCATTTGTTTCTTTTAGCTTTGTGGTTGGAAGCCATTTTGTAATTAAATGGGAGTAACTATACAATTAAAAGTGAAACATATCAAAACCCAATTTGCCTGTTTTACCATATGTGCTTTAACATAGATAAAAAAACAAGTTCACATTTGGCCCACTACGTTTTGCAGAGGAGAGAAGGATCACAGAGAGGGATCACAGAGGTTATATGAACAGATCATAGTGCTGAGAGGAAAATGAACTGGATTCAGGAAACCTCCACCTGGCAAACTGATTTACTTCTATGGCTTAGGTGTCAGCATAAGCCATACTAAAAGTTGTTTGGGAAGTAGCTTTTGTCCAGGTTCTTGAAACAATTCTCAACTTGAGTGTACTGGTTACATATAGCATAACAGTTTTGTTCTTTTAAGTAGAGTTAGAAAAAAGGGATGTAAAGGTTAATGTTTGCTTTAGTGTATTTAGTAAACTGATTCTCAAACAATTTTGATAATATTTGGCGTTTATATAGTCTGTTACATTTTCAATGCACTGTACAAACTAGGTTAGATTCCAGTTTTGGCTGTAAAATATAACTCACTATTCTGTTTGTTTTCAAAGGCATGCCTCCTGGATCCTGATGTAGCTTCTGACCTTGAATTGGCAGCTAATCATGGGAGAATTTAGAAGATTTCACATTTAGGCAAATCCCAGCCGTTTCCAATGCTGTATAATACGTTTCACATAGTAGGCCATATTTATCCTTAGCAGCTAGGTAGATAACCACCTATTTTTTTGTTTTTTCAGCTTTCTATAAATCATGAGAATTATGCAGTTTTTGTTGATTAGAACAAAGAACATTTTGCTGACAGTGATTTTTTGTTCACAATCCTTACTTTACTTACATATTGTAGAGGCAGATTATCTTCCTTTTTTCATTATACAGAAGGCTTAATCATCATGAACTGGGCATTTTACTGACATATCCACCTGCGTTTCTTACTTCAACTCTGCTCTAGATGGTATACAAATCAAGCTAAAATCAACTTGTTAAAAGAAATCATTGTTAATGTCAATTTCCTTTACTTACAAATATTAAAGATCTGCAGAGTCAAAGTTATAAGATTTCTGAAATACCTGTGCTTAAAATTAGTGTCCTCTTTTCATATACATTCTATTTATAAGTCATATCATACATTTAAATAAAATATTCTGTCCTGGGGTAATAATTGAAGGTGTGTGCTTTCTTTACATTTAAATCTTTTTCCTGTATACTTTGCCCTTTCCCATATCTCTGAAATGCAACAACTTTCTCAAAGATTGCACTGTTAGATGGTAGCAGTAGAGGGTTGGAAACTTGCATGGATGGTAGATACTTAGTTTACACTGTAGACCATACCAACTTCCAGTACTAGGATATCCTATTCATAGAAACTAATTATAAAAAAAAATCTACACCTACACTAGTGAAATGTTAGTGTCTCTATCTCTAGATCAGGGGTCGGCAACGTTTGGCACGCAGCTCGCCAGAGTAAGCACCCTAGCGGGCCGGGCCAGTTTATTTACCTGCTGACGCGGCAGGTTCGGCCGATCGTGGCCCCCACTGGCCACGGTTCGCCGTCCCGGGCCAATGGGGGGGC